TGTTGAAGTCTAATACGTGGGATGGATCGCCGTGATACTTCAGAAGCGTGGACACATGAAACACTGGATGCACAACTGATAAACTTGGTGGCAACACAAGTTTGTAAGCCACATCTCCCACTCTATCAAGGATCTCAAAAGGGCCAATGAACCTAGGGCTCAACTTGCCCTTCTTCCCAAATCTCATCACGTCCTTCATGGGCGACACCCGGAGCAACACTCGCTCTCCGACCATGAATGGCACATCGCGAACCTTACGGTCGGCATAACTCTTCTGCCTGGACAAAATCCATAGTGATATGCTCCCACTTCCACTCAGGAATCTCAATCTTCTGAAACAAACCACCGGGTCTCTAATGATCGTACTTTACCTGCTAACAATTCAAACACCGAGCTACGTACACAACAATATCCTTCTTCATCCTCCTCCACCAATAATGTTGCCGCAAGTCCTGATACATCTTAGTGGCGCCCGGATGAATAAAGTACAAGAAACTATGGGCCTCCTCTAGAATCAACTCACGAAGTCCATCCACATTAGGCACACAAATACGACCCTACATCCTCGAAACTCCATCATCTCCCACTGTAACCTGATTGGCACCTCCATGCCGCACCATGTCCCTAAGGACAAGCAAATGGGGATCATCATACTGTCGATCTCTGATACGCTCAAATAATAAAGAACGAGCGACTGTGCAAGCTAGCACACAGATGGGCTCAAAAACATCCAACCTCACGAACTGATTGGCTAAATCTTGAACATCCAAAGCAAGCGGTCTCTCACCAACTGGAATATACGCAAGGCTGCCCATACTGGCTGACTTCCTACTCAAAGCATCGGCCACTACATTGGCCTTCCCCAGATGATACAAGATAGTGATATCATAGTCTTTCAATAGCTCCAACCATCTCCTTTGCCTCAAATTTAGCTCCTTCAGCTTGAACAAGTATTGCAAACTCTTGTGATCCGTGAACACCTCACACGACACGCCATATAAATAATGCCTCCAAATCTTCAGTGCGTGAACAATGGATGCTAGCTCCACATCATGAACTGGATAATTCTTCTCGTGGATCTTCAACTATCGTGAATCATAAGCAATAACCTTTCAATCTGCATCAACACCGCACCAAGTCCAATACAAGATGCATCACAATATACTGTATATGGCCCTGAACCTATAGGCAAAACCAACACTAGCGTTGTAGTCAAAGTTGTCTTGAGCTTCTAGAAGCTCGCCTCACACTCGCCCGACCACCTAAACTGAGCACCCTTCTGGGTCAACCTGGTCATCGGGACTACAATAGATGAAAACCTCTCCACAAACCGACGGTAATAGCCTGCCAAACCCAAGAAACTCCGAATCTATGTGGTTGATATGGGTCTAGGCTAGTCCTTAACTACCGCAATCTTCTTAGGATCCACCTGGATACCCTCTGCTGATACAACATGACCCAAGAATGCAACTGAACTCAACCAAAACTCACATTTTGAAAACTTAGCATATAATTGGTTGTCCCTTAGAGTCTGGAGAACGACTCGAAGATGCTGCTCATGCTCCTCTCGGCTGCGGGAGTAGATCAAGATATCATCAATGAAAACAATCACAAAGGAATTCAAATAAGGCTTGAAAACTCAGTTCATCAAATCCATGAAAGCTGCTGGGGCATTTGTCAACCCGAATGACATCACTAAGAACTCATAATGCTCGTATCGAGTGCAAAAAGCTGTCTTAGGGACATCGGATGCCCTAATCCTAAACTGTTGGCAACCAGATCTCAAATCGATCTTCGAAAATACTTTGGCACCCTGAATCTGGTCAAATAAATCATCAATCCTCGACAATGGATACTTGTTCTTGATGGTGACTTTGTTCAACTACCGATAATCTATGCACATCCTCATCGATCCATCCTTCTTCTTAACAAACAACACCAGCACACCCCAAGACGAGACACTAGGTCTAATAAAGCCTTTATCAAGCAAGTCCTACAACTATTCTTTCAATTCCTTCAACTCGGGCGGGGCCATACGATATGGCGGAATAGAAATGGGTTGAGTGCCCAGAGCCAAATCAATGCAAAAGTCAATATCCCTGTCGGGTGGCATACCCAGAAGGTCTGCAGGAAATACCTCTGGAAACTCATGAATAATGAGTACAGAATCCATAGAAGGAACCTCAGCACTAGAATCACGAGCATACGCCAAATAGGCCAAACATCCCTTATCAACCATACGTCGAGCCTTCATATATGAGATAAACCTGCTTGTAGAATGACCAGGAGTCCCTCTCCACTCTAATCGAGGCAACCCCAGCAATGCTAAGGTCACAGTCTTGGCATGACAGTCTAATATAGCATGATAAGACGATAACCAATCCATCCCCAAAATGACATCGAAATCTACCATATCGAGAAGCAGGAGATCTACACGGGTCTCAAGACCCCTAATAACAACCACGCATGAATGATAGATACGATCTACCACAATAGAATCACCCACTGATGTAGACACATAAACATGAGCACTTAAAGAATCACGAGGCACAACCAAATAAGGGGGAAAATAAGATGACACATAGGAATATGTGGACCTTGGATCAAATAGAACTGAAGCATCCCTACTGCAAACTAAAACCGTACCTGTGATAGGCCTCAGCCTCAGCCTCAGGTCTGGCTGGAATAGCATAACATCGGGGTTGGGCCCTACCACTTTGAACTACATCTCGAGGACGACCTCCTGCTGGCTAGCCTCCACCTCTAATGGCCTGACCTCCACCTCTAACACCTCGACCCCTACCTCTAGCTGGTTGAGCGGGTGGTGGAACACCTGGTGCCGGAACTATGGCACGAGAAACCTAATGTTGAGAATTACTCGATGCTCGAGGGAAAAATCTAGCAATGTGCCTCGGATCACTACATGTATAACAAGACTTCGACTGCTGAGACTGCTGAGACTGCTGACCCTGAAACTGAACTCGATGGCCTGAGTAACCACCATGATGACTTTGGAGCGGAGGTGCACTGATAGGAGATAATGGTGCACTGTAGGACTGCTGATCAGGATACTGCATATAAGAATCACGGCCACCTAGAGCACCGAGAAAAGCCTGAAGTGCTAAATGAAACGGCTTGGGAGGATGGCCCCTACCAAAAGAATCCCTGCCTCCAGATGAGGCACCACTGAATTTGCCAAAATAACGGGGCCTCTTGTCAGACCCCTGAACACTCCCTTGTAATAGGCTGAACACTCCCTGGCCACATTGGATGCATCCTGGAAAGAAATCTCACTCCTTGTCTCCTTAGCCATCTACAATCTCATAGGCTGAGCTAGTCCCTCAATAAACCTCCTCACCCTCTCTCTCTTGGTGGGAAGTATAATAAGAGCATGACGGGCCAAAGCAATAAATCTTGTCTCGTATTGAGTGACCAGATTTTCTTTTGTATGACGGGCCAATGCTTCCGTGTTGCTTTTGTATTGTTTTTTCTTTTTACCCTTCTTTGTGTCTGATTCCGCGTAATCTTTTTTAAGAGCGTTTTGATGTTTTGAGAGAACAGGGCCCAGATTTCCTTTGTTTTCTATATCTAATTGACGCTCTTTTTCTCCTTGACTTGCGAGTTCTTTTGCTTCTTGAATTCGATTCTTTATTTTTTTATTTGATCGTAGAAAAAAGTTTTGTTTTTGGTTTTTATTGATGTTTTTATTTTGACTAACATTTTCATTTGTATTCAAATTTAAAAGAAGTAATTTGCTTGGTATAATCCACGGTTTTATTTTATATACATTATAAAGTGGTACAAATTCTGGGAAGAACCAAAATTCCAGATTCAATATGGGACGATTTAATATTTTTTCATTCATTCCTATCCAATCGCCTAAGAGTTTAAGAACACATACCTATGATTTGGTATTGAAACTTCTCTTCAAAAATCGCCTAAGGTCTGATTCTAGGGAAGGAGATATGAAATTTTGGGTCTAATCCCGTTCTGCTTTTGTTTTAAATGCTGGGCGACTGTGTTCATCGCGTTCGCGTGAGCATTGTCGGGTTCGCGAAGAGCTACCATCTGAGGACTTACGTGATCGCGGGAAAGGCTATGCGTTCGCGAAGGTTTAGCCCAGCCCTGCCTTCGCGTTCACGATAAAGGGGTCGCGTTCGCGTAGGTTTCCCTATGTTCCCTGACCAGCCCATCCTAAAGCTACGCATTCGCTGTTGACCGATCGCGTTCGCGTAGAGCAGTCCCCCAATGCTCCGCATTCGCGACCTCAGTCTCGCGTTCACGTAGGGTAAAATCCTCCCCAGCCTAGTTTCCCCTTCGCGATCGCGAGAGTGACTACGCGATTGCGAAGCATAGTGCCACAGACACTAGATACAACAACTACACCAAATTTTTCTAAGTAAAAAACACCCGAAGCCTATCCAAAACTCACCCAATCCTTCGGGGCTCCAAACCAAATATGCACATAATCCTAAAAACATCATACAGACTTACTCGTGCAATCAAATCGCCGAAATAACACCTAGAACAACAAGTTTAGCATTAAAATCAAAGAAAAATCTCAAGCTTAAAGTTCCATTTTCACAACCGAGGGTCCGATTCATGTCATATGAATTCTGTTTCTTACCAAATTTTACAGGCACAGCTTAAATATTATATTAAACCTATATCGGACTCCGGAACCAAAATACAGGCCCGATACCATCAAATTCAAACATTTTTAAATTTCCAAAAACTCTTATATTTTCCGTTAACCAATTTCTTTCAAAAATTTATTTCTCAGGCTAGGGACCTCGTAATTCAATTCTGGGCATACGCCCAAGTCCCATATTTTTTTACGGACCCTTCGGGACCGTCGAATCATGGGTTCAGATCCGTTTACCCCAAATGTTGATCGAAGTCAATTTAAATTCAATTTTAAAGGCAGAATTAGCATTTTCTCAAATTTTTCACATAAGGGCTTTCCGGATATACGCCCGGACTGCGCATGCAAATCGAGGTGAGACAAAATGAGGTTTTTAAGGCCTCAAAATACAAGATTGACTTTTAAATAAGAGATGATCTTTTGGTTCATCACACATTTTGAATCTAATAAATTTTGCTATCAAATAGCTATAAAAAGACAAAATGAGACATATAAAATATTCTCCAACTCTTGATCACAATGAAGTCTTGTCACTTGCCAAGTTTTTGAATATTAAAATATATGTTCTGAAATGATAAAACAAAATAAAATTAAATAAACAACCACATATGCAGTTCATCACTAATTAATCGAACAACTATGTAACATTTACAAACTCATGCTAGCATATCAAGGAATTGCTATTAAAGTTTTTTGTTCAAAAATAAATTCCTACGAGAAGATCTCAAAGGTTGAGTAGTATAGGCTCAAAATCAATTTTATGCTAATCTTCATATGGTAATTTAATGCCTTTTTTTTTAACAAGATGACATTATCATTGGATGATTTTCGTTCTATAGTTAAATTAATTCATTTTTTTCTCAGCAGAAAGTTAATAGGAGGACTAAACCTCTAGATATGTCATAATGTCAACAATTAATGTGACAGTTAAGGATACATTAGACTTGAAAAGTCAAAATCACATACTTTCATTAATTTTCAGGATTCGATAACACGATGAAGAAATCTCTAAGTCATAGTCATATATACATCATTAAAAAGAAATGTAAACATACCTGTCATAGTTTGGCTTCTACTGATTCAACTGATGCAACGCCTTTTTATCTCTTGTGTTATCTTCACGGCATGTTCATACATGGAGTAGTAATTGCATAGATTTATATTTTTCATCATTATCCCGAAATTGATAAATGTAAATGAATCCGACAACCATCCCTACATGTGAAAATACTTTTAAGATTCATAAGATTTCACATTATATCAGATATGCATTCTGGAGACCAGAAAATTTGACTTTAAATTGAATAAGAGTCACATATCACATTGGGATAATTGCATACCATCCAATTACGTAGCACCAAATATACTAAGGATGAGAACATTAAGCATTACAATCCAACTTCACAAAAAGTTTTTAGAAATGAAACATGAAAAAGATGGAACAAACCTAAAAGCACTCCACTGTCACAAATCACCCAGTGAAAGATTTCTTGAATCAAGTCTTAGGAATTTGTTGGAGGGTTTTTATCACTAATTGGAATGTAAAAGAAAGGCCACGGTGTTCAGGCCTTAAATATATATATGATAGTTGTTTCTAATCCACATAACCGTTTATAAAGATAATACACCAACTCCATCTTACATCTTCATGTTAATATTACAATTTTAAAAAATGTCATCTTTAAAAATCTAAAAGAATACATATGAGACTAATTGTAAGAAAAATGTTCATGAAACTAGCTTTAATGCTTCATCATGATATGAGTAAGTGATTGAAGGATCAAATGAACATGCTTCAAAAGCTTGGAACTTGATATCTAATAAGAACAAGAAGTCATCATCTATTTGATCCAAATCAAATACAATCCTACTAGCCTATTTCATAAGGTGAGTAGACAAGCATGCTTCGGCACCTTCTTTACAGCAGTTAAATGTTATTGCTGCTTCTACAAAACATAATTAAAATATAACTTAAGAAATTCTTGTCACTACATTAGTACTCCTCTTGAAATAAAATTTCATGTCATCTAGTTGTTTAATATTCCACCAATATTTAGCCATGGATAAAATTATGTAAATATAAGCTCAAAAGTAACTATTGAATTTGCAAAAATACGTATATGCTAAAGAGCCCTATTTCTTTAATGCACAAGTAGACTCGGTATAGAGATTAGTGATTTTATAGTTTGTGATATAATTAACTAACTACCTTCAAATACTAAACAATAGTAATTATTAAATGTTGAAATTATCTTCTGTCATCTTATGGATAGTATTACTTTTGGCATTGGTCAAAGGAGTTATTCCATGTTATACAAGATCAAAGAATTTAAAAAGATAAAGAACATAACATAAATATTATGGTCAATTAATAAAAGTGACTTACGTTCCTTGAAAAATTAGGCAATTTGCATGTAAAAACATGCTCCAGTAGCCAAGATTCAAAATCGATTATTGGGCATATCTGCAGTTGTAAATTATTAATTAAATTCAAACAAAGAATGGTGCAATTCTCTTGTTCCATAGTTGGCCTAACTAATTGGCATTGGATGAAGTGAGTTGCATGAGATATGCTCTTAAAGAATCATTTGAATTAGAACATCTCTTACCCTAATTCTAGGGCAGTAAATGAGGATGATAATAAAATAAAACTTCAAAATTAGATTCCTCTATTGTACAACATTCTATTGACCAATGTTATTGATTTTACCAATATTCTTTGTCAGCTCTATATGATTTCAAATCCAAGGTATAACAAATTAGATATATTGTCCAACATAAAGTAAATATATTAGATATTTTAGTAGTAACTAGTAGAAAAGAGGGACGATACCGTACAATAAATCTTCTCTATTTAGAAGAATGTCAGTATGTTTGATGCCAAACCCGGAAAAAGATACACCAACTTTTATTGTAAATTTAGTCAGTTTCTATTACCAATAAGAAAAAAAATTAGTTTTTAGATTCCAAATCCTCACTTGTTGACTCTGTCCAATTCTCGAAATATTGGGGAGTCTTCAGCACGTATCCAAAAATTCAACTTACTACAAATTGCGATGAATTAATTATCATACTAATTATCAAACTTAAACCTAGCAATTTGAATCAAACATCGAGAATCCGACTTCTTGAAAAATTTCGATTCAACTTAAATGCGGTATAAAAACTTGAGAATCTAAAAATGAAAAAATCGACAACTGACCTGACAAGTAGATTGAAGTAATTCAGATCTTTGGGAAACGATGAAGATAAGTACTGATCAATTTTACTTGATCTCGGACTTCCGAAGAGCGAAGAAAATCTACAATTTTTCTCTAAGGATTTGAAGCCCTACGTTCTGGGTTTCTATGGAGAGAGGCGACATAGCGATGTAAAGAGATATAGTATAGACGCCAAAAGAGATGCATTCTATGAGGGCTCTTAAATGATGAATTCAAGATATAAAGGAAAAGAAATACATTTTCTATTGGATGCAAAAATAAAAATTAAAGGAGGAAATAGTGAAATAAATTGGAGGGAAAATAGACTAATAAAAAGTTCTTTGAAAAATTGCTAGTAACGTTTACCGGCCACTTTTGTTAATCGCCAGTGAAAAAGTAGTTTTCATAGTCAATGTTCATTTGCTAGTAAAAGATTGAGTCTAGAGAATAAATTGCTGGCTATATATTTATTGCCGCTAAATAATGGTTGCTAGAAGCTTTTTTTGTAGTAATGAATAGACACAAGGTCTATGATAATCTCCTACTTTTATTGATTTTAATCTACTGGCGAAGTGTTATTACACTCCCTATCTTACCACACCAGGGTCATCAACTCTCTGCTTAAAGGGATCCCAATCAGGGTCAGATATCACTTTCTTACTGTGCCATCTCAACATCCTTGGCAGCGACATTGGTACGACCTTTGATTTTTCGGCACTACGACCAAATAGCTGAATTGCTTCGTATGCCCATGCCTACATTTTTTCATCAACCAAAAAAGTATTAATTTCTGTCTGCAGTAAATAAAATAATAGTACTCAACTGCAAAGAAATTTGAGAAGGTTGTTTTAATATTGCCACGAATGCCCATGGGAAGCCATACAGGGCATAACTAGCCGATTTGGACTTTTTACCAGAGATATTGTTTTCCTTCCTCTTGCTCACATATGATTTGTACATTAGCAACATGTCCTTCTTCAAGTACTCAATTGCAAGCTCAAAACACTCTTTGCCCCATGGATATTTCATGAAATTCCAGATTGTTAGCCATATACATCCGCTTCTTATCGACGCGCACTATGTTATCCCTTGCAAGCAAGACTAAATGGACAAAATACACCAATGCAATCTTAAATCTCTCGACTGTGTCAAACTTCTTGGACTTCAACTGTTTCAAAAGCAGCTCTGCATCCACCCTTTTCTTGTTAGACTGTCAAACTTTGTCGCAGAATGCTGGGCCATCATCCATCACTTTCTTCATAGCTTCTTTACTTGGTTTGGACAGTTCAATCCAGTCATCATAGCAAATTCTTTCAATCCAAAGTGAACAAGCTTGTCTCCAACTAAAAACCACAACTCACGCCCATCACTTTCTTCATAGTTTCTTTACTTGGTTTGGCACCATAGTTCAATCTAGTCATCATAGCAAATTCCTTCAATCCAAAGTGAACGGGCTTGTCTCCAACTAAAAACCACAACTCTCGCTTCTTTGCGCAATAAATTCGGCGAATCAGCAAGGAATGGACAAACTGTCCATTGAATTATGTCCAGTGCTATGAAAGTTTTTCAAACTGATCAAAACAACCACTATTAAAATTTTCCATCAATTTTATTGTTCTAAGTTTATCCTTGAACTAGTGGAATAGATTGATCCTAGACCTCACACTTATCTTAGCCAGGAAACGTCTATGCTTTATTAGAAAAGTCCTGAATCTGTATTTGGATGCGTCGATCGCCCTTATAAACACAGGAATTGACAGAGCATCCCGATCTCTTTCAACTGTTGTATTTGTTTCACTTTCCGAAAATGTTCATCATCTTCAAGTTGTTCATCATCTTCATCATCATCATCATCATCATCATCATCATCATCATCATCATCATCATCATCATCATCATCATCATCATCATCATCATCATCATCATCATCATCATCATCATCATCATCATCATCATCATCATCATCATCATCATCATCATCATCATCATCATCATCATCATCATCTTCTTCTTCTTCTTCTTCTTCTTCTTCTTCGGCATATTTATCAACCTCCTGAGCAGCAGCATCACCATTTTCATCGTCCTCTACACCTAAAGCTTCATCATCACTGTACTTTTCTTCTTCAACAATTATTTTTTCAGAAACCTGTTCTTCCATTTGAGTTTATGTTGCATTTATGTCCAAGTCTTCTTCCTCCACCTCATCAATACCCTCTAATGCTAACCTCCTTGAAATAGATTTTTTACTAATATGTATGTCCTCCTCAACTAATCTAGACTTTAATCTTGTTCTTTTTTTACTGATAGACTTTGGTGACTCTTTGTTCTTTTTTCTCCTATCATGCTTAGAAATCTCAGCATTTCCTTTGCTAGGGAAAAATTTAGAAGTATTTATTTTTCGTTTTCTAATAGTAGTTTTTGAAGGCTCAGCAATTGCTTTACTTAGTGATGCTTCTTTTTCTGCATTTTCTTCCCTGTTTGAAGGTTGTGAAGGCTTTGTCAAAGGAATATGCTTCTTAGTAGCTGATTTTCTCCTCAGGTTACCTACATGAAAATATGCAATATCACATTTAATAAATTTAAACTTATGATCAGAATAAGAAAAATAAGCCCCAACTCCAGCAAGCATCTATGACCAGAAAACAATCGACCACAAGTTTATCAATAAATATTAGGTCGCAGTTATGACGAAATTCTAATACACAGAGCACAGAGGTAGTCCAAAAAGCAAATCTAATCACCCACGCCATATAAGATATGGTTATTCACAACCCAATTGATCTTGAACATGTACATGAACGAATCATTCTACAAAACCCGAAATAAAAAAATGTAAGAAATGAAAAAAGAAGAATTTAGGATTTACCAAAATTGACGCGTTTTGAGCTTTAATATGATGCTTGATGGGTTTATAGAGACAATTACACCCAAAATCGAAGCTTCATTCTTGTCCCGTCCCGCCACAAACCTCCTTGGTCGATGGGGTTGAGTGACAGAGAGAATAGAGAGATGAGAGAGAAATTGGGTAGAAAAAATGAGAGAGGTGCCAAGTTTTTCAAAATTTATATATGACCCACAAGTTTTTATAATGTTAAAAAGACCCCATCCACCCTAACCCAATCATTTCACCATTTTTCAACCCAAAAGAAATTGAGAAAGAAAATGGGAGATCACTTGACCGATTCAAGTGTTGAGGAGTTCTTCTTGACAATTCCTCTCAAGTAACTAAGCAAACAAGATACATACACGATGGTCGGTATACCATCATTACAAAAATAAAATTAAAAAATATATTAAATTTTATTAAATAAATTTAAGGTCTGTTATTGAGGTTTAACTTTAGGACAATAATATCGTTGAGCCGTCCCTGTATATTTATTTTGGTAATATATTAAGGTCTGTATATTTATTTTAGGACGATGGTCGGTATACCATCAAATATTTTTTTTTTGATTTATGTTTGATCTGTTGATTTCCATACGTATTCCATACGGTTGTGCTGAAGTTTCCACTCCACAGCAAATTTGAGAAATGGAGGATTATAGTGATTCGCGTGCATTGTAGTTATACGTTCACAACTTAAAGCATACATTAAAATGAACTTTATCGACAAACAATTTTTGTTATTTATTTACTCTGCATTTTCAAATCGGTGAAGATATCTTGTTTCTTTTGATTTTTTCATTCACCCGATCCTCAAAGACAAAAAAGTTTACAGTTCTCTATTTAAACAAAACAAATAAAAATTATTGAACTAAAAAGAGAAAAATTGGACTAAACTTAATTAGGTTAATATTAATATATTATTTTGAAAAATCAAATATCAAATATGAAACCAAAACACTTTATCTTGGGCTGAGCTGGGCTGGCCTAGACACGTTACAATTTGGTCGGGTCCGCCCAGACCCTCATTCTACCAGCTGGGTTGGTTGGTTAAATAGCTAACCCGACCCATTTTACAATTTCACAATCTTGTCCAAATAATTTTTGTACACAAAATTTTACTCGTAAAGAAAGAAAAAAAAAAGACGTAATAAATAAATGAATCTGAGCCGTTGAAGAGGGTCCACGACACGGTCAGCACACCAGGTCATCAACCAATTCAACGATC